GGTGGCGGTGATATTGTATTCCTAGAGTTAATTAATTAATTTTATTAATTGCTTCATTAGATTTGTACTTGGTAATCCACCCTGAACTCTTTGGCAATTGTCTAATCTTTCTTTAAGACAGTGAGATGCATCATGTATCCTACGGCTTCCATTTTCCAGAAGAAAAATTTTCTGAAGCTTTCTGACCTGCTCCAGGTTTCACTTCTTGCCTGGTGGTCCTTTCATCACCTTCTTGACTTTTGCCTTGGCCTCATACTTGTTGCCAGGTTTCCATAAAATGTCTGGTTTCTTTGCATTACTTCCTCAGTTTACTCATTAATTCCTCAGTTTACTCATTCATTTTGGTGGAAGTAATTTCCTTAGAAAGCAGGCACGGGAGCATATGTTTGGAGAAAATTTTGAAATATGATTAATTCTACCCTAACACAAGTTTGGTAGTTTTGTCTGAATATGGAATTCTAGTTTGGAAATAATATTCCCTCAAAATCTCGAGGGCATTGTTCCATTGTCTTTTGGCTTGTAGTGTTGCTGGTTGAGAAATCCAAAGAAATACTTTGAATGTGACCTACCCTTTGGTTTTCTCTCCCATCTCTTTTAAGATCTTCTCTTTTCCTTCAGTGTTCTGAAATTTTATGATGCTGTGCCTTAGTGTGAGCCTATTTTATTCACTGTGGTGGGCCTCTGGTGACCCTTCCCATTTGGAACATGTTCTGTTCTAGGATTATTATTAAATTATTAAACTGATATTTCTTCAATTTGCTTTCATTTCCTCTTTAGGGAAGTCTTAAAATTCAGATCTTAGACTCTTAGACCTCCTGGACTAGTTCTCTAATTTTATCTTATCTTTACTATTTTCCATGTTTGAATTTTTGCTCTAGTTTCTCGGTGGTTTCCTCAGCTTTATGGTACAAACTTTTTCACTTCTGCTCACGTACTATCAATCCCCAAGAGTTCTTTTTTATTCTAAATGTTCCTTTAAAAATACAGCTTCCTATTCATCTTTTATCCTTATAATATTTTATCTTTCTAATAATATTAATTACAGCTTTTCAATATAGAACTTCCCTAATACATATTTGACATATCCTATAATTCACCCACTTCAAGTGTAAAATTCAAGGATATTTTAGTAAATTTACCAAGTTGTACAACAAACACCATAAAAAGATTTTAGAATATTTCCATCACCCCAGTAAGTCCCATCATGTTCATTAACTGTTACTCTCCATTCCCTCCACCTCACCCTGTCTTAGGCAATCACTAACCTACTATCTGTCTGCATACATTCACCTTTTCTGACATTTCACATACTTGGAATTATACAATATGTGGTCTCTTGAGTCTATTCTCTCACTTGACGTAATGTTTTTGAGGTTTATCCAAGTCACAACACATATAAGCATTTTGTTTCTTTTTATTGCTAAATGGTACTCCATTGTATGGCTATACCACATTTTGACTATCTGTTCGCTAGCTGAAGGACTTTTAGGTTGTTTCTAATTTTTGGCTATTATGAATAATGCTGCCGAGAACATTCATGTGCAAGTCTTTGTATGGATATATTTTCATTTCTCTTGGGTAAACAGGAGTAGAAGTCTTTATTATATTTTATGTTTTATATTTCCTTTTCCCTCAGTGATCTGTCTTTCTTACAAGTTCAGTTTTTTCTTTCTGTTTGTTTATTTTGGTATCTCTATTTCATTCTATTCCCTGAAATAGGGAATTTTGAGTTGTCTTCTTATATTAAGAGTATAGGGCTAATAAATTGATTGAAAGCTCTGGGTGGGGTGTTTTTAGTGTGAGTTTCAGGGTCCCCTGACTAGATCATTGACCTGGAGACTCTCCCATGTCTGTATCATTAAGCCGTTCACGTGGCTTGGTCAGATTCCCTGGGGAAGACTCTTCAATCTGCTGTTGAAGGGTAAAGTACACAGAATGTACCTTTGCACTTAGTTCTGTGAATTCACTGTGGTACTACTGCATGCAAACGTGCCGTGTCTCCCAGTCCACAGACCATCTGTGTACCCTCTTCATAGAGTCACCTTTCAAACTGCCCCTGCGGGGTGAGGGACAGTAACACAGCTCTGTGAGCTGTTAGGGAGAAGGAGGACCTATGAACCATCTGAGAAAGAAGATGCCAGATGTTTCAATTCTAAGTTGTTGCTGTTGTTGTTGTTTTTGCCGTACGTGGGCCTCTCACTGTTGTGGCCTCTCCCCTTGCGGAGCACAGGCTCCGGATGCACAGGCTCAGCGGCCATGGCTCACGGTCCAGCTGCTCCGTGGCACGTGGTATCTTCCCGGACCAGCCCGTGTCCCCTGCAACGGCAGGCGGACTCTCAACCACTGCGCCACCAGGGAAGCCCCCAATTCTAATTATTGAATGGAGTTTCTACCTCCTGAAATCTGGTGTCCTCTTTTTTTTCCTTATTTGTTTTCTTTTTATTTATTTATTTTTGGCTGCGTTGGGTCTTCGCCACTGCACGCAGGCTTTTTCTAGTTGCGGCGAGCGAGGGCTACTCTTCGCTGCAGTGCGCGGGCTTCTCATTGCGGTGCCTTCTCGTGTTGCAGAGCACGGGCTCTAGGCACGCGGGCTTCAGTGGTTGTGGCACGCAGGCTTCAGTAGTTGTGGCACACGGGCTTAGTTGCTCCGCGGCATGTGGGAACTTCCCGGACCAGGGCTTAAACCCATGTACCCTGCATTGGCAGGCGGACTCTCAACCACTGTGCCACCAGGGAAGCCCTGGTGTCCTTCTTTAATTAAAGTAAGAGAAAAATTGGCATTTTGGACAACGATAAATTATTTGAATTCTAACACTTGAGTATTCTCGAACCATTTGAAATCTGAGAGAGATGGTGGAATGTATGAGCCACTCTTTCATTTCCTTAGATCCACTAAGCTCTTATTCTGTGTTTTTATAGAATCAGGAAAAAGAGAATGCTTTCCCCTTTGCACAAAACCCAGTGTCTTTACTGAGTTAATACTGAATTGATGCTCCCCCCTTTAAAAAAAAAAAAAAATAGAACATCGACTTAAGGGATATTCACCTTATTGGTACTTTTGCATCTTGCAAAACTATAATTAAAGATAGATAATGTTCATCATGTTATCTATCTCTTAAATATCTCTAAATATTCAATGTCTTAAATAAGGAAGCACATAATATACTCATTCTTTTAACAGTGATCAGGAAAAACAAATCTTTCTCTAGATGAACTTACATCCTTTTGTGTATCAAACTACAATTATTATAAAACTCAACAGTTCTATTTTTGATTATCTGCCAGGAAAATAAACGTAGAACTCCTTTTCAACTGTAGCAGTCACTTCATTTTAAATGTAAAGTAGCATTAATTTCTCTGCCCCTATTAATATATTTTGCTGTAAAAGTGCTTGAAGGTCCTATTTTTATCTTTAATTATTTAAATTGCCTTTTTTTCTATAATAGGCAGAATATAAAATCTAAATAAAAATATGTGTTCCAGGAGATGAACTGAATTCAGTATAGGAAGACAACAGGTATTATCCTCATTTAACCCAGTATCCTTTTATTTTTCCAAGGATGTGTGCTTTTAATATAAGCTAAAGGGTTGGGGGTTTATAAACATTTTGCTGGTTTGTGATAGGAAGAAATGACCAAAATGTCACATTAAATACTCCTTGATGACAGTACAAATACTCATTTACTCTTTCCCTATCTGTACTGTAAACAACATACAACAACATCCCTTAATAATACATAATGACTGAACATGGATATGAACTTGACCAAGGGCAGAATTTACCATGTTCAAATTCACAAAGTACATATTATAAGATAAAAACAGGATAGTATTCTGCTGTGTGAAAATCTTCTTTGTTCTTATCAGGTTCAAATAAGAAATGGTTAATTGCTTAGGTGCAAAAGCACTTTTTTTTCTCTTAACCTTTCATCAAATAATAATTTTTTGGATGCAATGTTCTTTAAATTTTAGGTGTATCTGGCTAAGCTGTCTTACACATTTAACTTTCTGGTATGTTTCTCCCATCAGTCATTCCTGATTTTCTCTGATTTTGTCTTGCTCTTTGTGGTGTGAACCACAGGGACCACAGCCAATGGCAAACTCAGATTCAGTAGCAGAGCTGGCAATAAAGCTTCTTTTAGCACCTCTGAAGCTGCAGTGAAACCACTAAAGAGCATCTCAGAAAAACTGAACTATTTTCTTCCGGCCTCAATATCACTTACTTAAATGTCAAACTATAAATTATATCAAGAAAATAAAAATCTACTCCATTACTCTTATGCTTCTTATAAAGCTCTTCTTTTCCACACATGGATTCACTGATTTTAATCACAAGCTGGTATAATGATTACATGACTATTAAAATGCATGTAATTAATCTGAGCCTCATAGTTGAGGTTCTATTTTGCATAAGACCAAAGAAAGAAATGGTTAACCAAAATTTTGAATAACTTTGAGGTACCTGAAGAAGTAAAAATCTTTCAAGAATATAAACCGTAAGTTGGAACCACATAGTGTGACCAAATTAAAATGTTCCATTTTCATAGGCTCTAGTTTGCTTTTATAATTACTGAGCTTTCCTCTGGGAGGGTCTGGCACTGATCCTAGAGTTTTTTCTTAGCTTCAAAGTAGTCCTCAACCTAGAGCTTGAAAAATGTGAGTTTCATGCTTCCTAACTCATCTTTGTTTTCCCTCTTTCCAAATGCTAATATGTGGAGTTGAAGATTATATTAGAAAACTAGTTTGCTTGCCCTGAGAACTTTTCTTATGTATCCAAAGGTTACTTAGAATTAACTTACTTCCTGAAAACCTACAAAAGACATTCAGAGCCCAAAGTCCACAAACTCTAAAACAGCCCTTTAGCCAACATTATTTTATGAAATTCCTGACATAATTTACATAATTTAATGACATATTTCAGAAATAAGTTTATAGGTTTAGGAATGGCAGTATTCAATAAGATTAAACATTAAGACAGGAATATTTTGACATTTCCAAACCTCAGATGTAGTAAGTTTTTGAGATTCAGTCCTGTAGATTCCAATGGGAACATCTCCAGTAGAAGAACATAACTTCTGATACAGTCTGGCATAAGTCCTGATCCATAAGTCATCCTCGGTGATTTTCATCTACAATCATATGTATTATTTACAAATCAAATTTTTAAGAAATAACCCAATGGTAATTTTTCACTCTTTAAAGGTAGATTTTATTGATATTTTGAAATCTCAAAGTGACATTCATAAGTGCTTATACATGTATTAAAGTTTTTTATTACATTCCATCTCAGCCTTATACCTGGGTTCACCCAAACTTAAGAAACCAACTGCTCCATTTGTGGCAGCATGGCACTGTATTAGTCCCATATACTTGGAATATCACTGGTAATTGATTGGGAATTGTTGGAAAACCTGTAAAGGCTTGTTTGAATGTTGCAATAACCTTAGTGGACAGGGTCTGCTGATGTTACACATCTTGAAGTGCAAAGGACACTCCAGCACAAAAACGAATTGTCCATCCAAAGTTCTACTAGTACCCATACTGAGGAAGATGTGTAAAAGTATGGAGCACAGGACTCACAGACAGGAGGCATAAGTGCTGGTCTCTCTTTGCTAAACATGAATTTGAATTTGTTAGCAAGACACTTCATTAAATACACTTAGGCATAGTACACTTATTTATAAAACAGAGAGGTTAAATGTCATGATCGCTGTTTACCTTGGCAGTGTAGCATCCTATGTCAGAAACTGTCAGTCTCAAATACCTGCTAGAATTTTGTACAGAACGGCTACCTTCAGGATCATTTTTGTTCTGAATTTTGTACAGAATGGCTATCTTCGGGATTATTAATTTAAATAATGTTTTCCCTAAACATTGTTTAAGGGATTAAAAAAAACTAGGATGCTATTCTTTGAGCACATATTAGAAAAAAATAAATAAATGACATAGAAGAGTTAGCCAAAGTACATTATAGATGGCTTTCAGAATTGCCTGTCAGAATAATCTACACCAGAGATTAGTAACTTACAGAGCAAAGAAACCCCGATCCTGGTGTAGTGTCCAATCCCAACAGAAGTCTGGTGATAGAAATCATGTAGTCCTTCACAAATGACTGCAATATAAACAAAATACATATTTATTGTGTGTAGGAAATACATAGACTAGCTTAGAGCATGAACATCTTATCACATCTTAAAGGTTATTTCTTGTAACACATCATTAAGCCCCCATAAAAAAGGAAATAAAAATCTATCTTGCCAGTGTCCTCAATACACATGTACAGTTAAGCTGTCCTTAAAGAAATATGGGAAATGATTATTTTCTAGAATATCCGGATATGCTTAAATTTTATGGATGTTATTGGATGTGATGAAAACATTTTTAGATTTTTAATAACAAAAACTATAAGCCAAAATATAATAGAGAATGTTTTAAAAAATTCTAAAATGACTAAAATTTACAATGAAATATTTCAACCGGTATTTGGTTTTTTGTTAGGATTAAACTTGATGCTAGTAGAATACATTTCTATATAATATTTAAGTAAATCTAAATATTAGTGAATTAATAGGTTAGTATTTTTTTTTTAAATAAATTTATTTATTTATTTATTTTTGGCTGTGTTGGGTCTTCGTTTCTGTGCGAGGGCTTTCTCTAGTTGCGGCGAGCGGGGGCCACTCTTCATCGTGGTGCGCAGGCCTCTCACTATCGTGGCCTCTCGTTGTGGAGCACAGGCTCCAGACGCACAGGCTCAGTAGTTGTGGCTCACGGGCCCAGTTGCTCTGCGGCATGTGGCATCTTCCCAGACCAGGGCTCGAACCCGTGTCTCCTGCATTGGCAGGCAGATTCTCAACCACTGCGCCACCAGGGAAGCCCAATAGGTTAGTATGAAATACCATCATGAGACTATTTTGTTTGCTAACATATATTTTGACATGTTGTTAGAACACTACTCAATAGTTCGAATATTAACTGAAAAATGCTTCTAGTTTCTTCAGTTTATTTTTTGGTCTGAGTGAAAAGATAGACTTTCAACCCATACAAGCAAATTTCACCATGATATGTAACAATTACTTCATAAATCGTATGAAATTACTGCCTTGAGTTTGATCATCAGGTGTTAACAAGTGAAACATTTAAATAATCATCTAGGTATTTTGCACCCTTGTTGCTGCAAATGGCATTATTTTGTGTTTTTTTATGGCTGAGTAGTATTCCATTGTATATATGTACCACATCTTCTTTATCCATTCATATAGAGATTATCATACTAAGTGAAGTAAGTCAGAAAGAGAAAGACAAATACCATATGACATTGCTTATATGTGGAATCTAAAATATGGCACAAATGAACCCATCTACAAAACAGAAACAGACTCTGAGACATAGAGAACAGACTTGTGGTTGCCAAGGGGGAGGGATGGGCTAGTAGATGCAAACTATTACATTTAAAATGAATAAACAACAAGGTCCTACTGTATAGCACAGGGAACTATACCCAATCTCCTGGGATAAACCATAATGGAAAAGAATATTAGAAAAAAGAATGTATATATGTTTATAACTGAGTCATTTTGCTATACAGCAGACATTAGCCCAACATTGTAAATCAACTATACTTCAATAAAAAATAATAACAATAAATCATCTAGTTATTTTGTATAGCAAAGACTTTAAAAGTTATAACACCTTTTTTTTTTTTTTTTGCCGTACGCGGGCCTCCCACCGCTGTGGCCTCTCCCGTTGCAGAGTACAGGCTCCGGACGCGCAGGCTCAACGGCCATGGCTCACGGGCCCAGCCGCTCCGAGGCATGTGGGATCCCCCCGGACCGGAGGACGAACCCGTGTCCCCTGCATCGGCAGGCGGACTCAACCACTGCGCCACCAGGGATGCCCTATAACACCTTTTAAATAAATCATCTAGACTACTTTGTTGATTGCTAATTTCTTTTACCAAGAGCTAGTTTCAAAAAAATAAACCCATCTAAAAAAGAACATAAGGAAACACATCTATTCCATTTTTTTCAGGCCATTTATTTAAATGGCCCTTTGGTTTTCAAGGCGTATTAACCTCCTAGTAATTAGGACATGACATATTGGGGCCACCAAGAGGAGCTGTGACACGCACCCCTGTTAGCATCATTCAATTTCATTTGTAACTCAGTGTGTGCTAAAGAAAAATTTTAAACAAATTCTTGGGCACTTAAAACTATTATTTCCAAAATAAAAAACAGAAAGCACTCATGGAAGAGAAATTAAACTGAAGATTTGGCAAATGACTATTTTAAATTATTTTAGAGCCAGATGTGGTAATATAGCTAATGTTTACTGTATTCTTCATCAACACATTCTTTGTCCAGAGGTCATCTGTCCTGTAACTTCATCAGGGCATAGACTAGAGTTAAATGTGAGCCAAAAATGTGGATAGCCCCATTTAATATCACAAAATCCATGCATTAAGTCTTATGTGATACAATCATAGAACATTTTTCATAGAAGATTTTTTAATATCTATTTAATGTTATTTTAGGTAATAACTTTTTTAATAATTGGTTTTCCTGATCTACACAGATGAGAATTAATAAAAATGATTAAAAATATGAAAGCGATCTGTGTTTCAAGTGGGATATAATAAAAACCAACGAAACAAGCAAACAAACTCAAGCATTATACAAATGCAGAGTCATTTACCACAGGAAAAGGGTCAGAACTAATCTAATGAGGTATGCATGGCTTGAAGATGAGTATTCCCACTAAACACTGGACAGTTGACCTTCCTGAGACCTTGTCTCATCCATATATTATGATTGATAATACTGCTTATATTATAGTTTTCCTTGGGGAAGCAAATAAAATGAGGTCTAGAATAGAATTACATTAATAGTAAATCACTATAAAACTGTAGTCATCTATAATAGTTCTTGAATATATAAGCATTTATCTTTAAGAAGATGGGTTTAAATCATTAACCAAAACAATTAGATTGTATATTTTAAGAATAGAAGAATGCATGTTATATAATTTTAGAGAATAAAATATTTTAAATTTCTAATCTCTTTTTAACCTGTAAATAAATACTCTTTACCTGTCTGAAAAACCTACCATTAAAATATCTCATTTGACATCAGAAGGTAAATGGGCAATTACTACTTTGAAAATTATTGTTCTAGTTCATTCTTTCTGCAGCTGCTAGCTTTGGAAAAAACACAATTTCCTGTATTTCTATGTGTAACAAAAAAAGTGAAACAAAAATGAAAGGAAAGTAATAACTACGGCTCTCCAATTCTACAGAATGGTTTTCCTTCTACTTAGCTTATATATCAAAGACTTTCTCATGAGATTTCGTTTAAATATAAGGTACTGTGGCTAAAATATCTGAAAACCACTGGTGCATAACGACAGCAAGCATTTGACTGCTATGGATATAAATCCCCTCAGAGGCAACATTGCTCTTCAAACAATCCCTCCCTTGAACCCCCTCTGTGAGAGATCAGAATTACGTGTGCCTGGCAATGGGGTCTGGGGTAGAAGCCTGGCCTTCCAGAGCACCCAGATAATGTGTCTGGAAACTTTCGGGAGAACAGGAGTGTTTATGGTTCTTTGCGGTGTTGTTCCCGCACTCATCTGGCATAAGCAGATGGTTTGAAACACAGCCAGAGACATAGTCATAGGCATAATTAGCCCAGAGGCCAGTAGAAAAGCCTTAACCCTCTTTGGATTAGTTTATTCAGCCAAGCATGGAGGAAGAGGGTACATAAAATACATGATCAAAAAAGACAACACAATGCTTGAATGCTTAATTTGAGATTAAAGTTATCAAATAACTTAAAGCCTTATGAATATCTTTTTTCTCTTAATGGATATATTTTAAAAGTATTTGATTACTTGATTCAGAGAATATGAAATATTGCTTTTGTTCAGTTTCTGACAGAGTTAAAAAAAGATTAAAATATATTAGTGTAAAATAAAATCTCTATGAACTTCTTAGCTAAAGTTAAGAGTGATAAAATGACAATGTAAAACTCTGGCATTCAGGAACAAACCGAATGGTTCTTAGTGGTTGTAAAACCTTCCTTACGTTTTTCTGAAGTAGGCAATAATTAGCAGATGTTTAAAACGTCCTTGGTTTATCAGTTTATTGACATCATTTGCTATTACTTACTAAAAACATATGTATTAGAAAGAAAGCTGTCTTTTTTTTAACCTAGTAATTCTTTCTTAGCTTTTATTGTCTAGTAATGTGCTTAGAGGAATATGCAAAATGTATTAAAATGTCACATTAAACATTGTAGGACACTGGTGTCATAGAATGCCTGATATCACTTCATAGATTATTCTGAAAAATAATGTTTTCTTACAGTGTGTTTCATAGGCACAGTTATGTCATTAAATACATGAAGTAAAATATTGGATTACTTCCAGAGCCAATTTTAAGTTAACGGCTCCAAGAGAAACACTAGTTGAATTATGCGTTTGATAGAATCTAAAGAAAATAGAAAATAAACATTTTAGAGAGAAACAAGAAATGCTGCATACCTGGTAAAGAAGCGTGTCCAACATGCTGATACTGAACACCCTCCCGGCAGCAAAAGGTAGTCGGAACATAAAGGCCAAATTAGAACCTCGCTCTCTTTCTTTCTGTTCAGAAATTTGAAAAAGAAAAATTTGTGAGCATTCTCTATTTTATGCTTTTCTATTTACTTAAATTTTCCTAACATGTGAAGAAAGCCATTTTTATCACGTGGTTCTTAGCTATGAATGTGTCATGACTTCACTTTTAATTGTATTTTTAATGTCCCTTTACTTTTCATAACCAAGATTTCTTGGTTAAAATACCCAGTAGTAAAGAAAGCTTAATCCTTTCATACATTAAACATTTATTTACTCTTAGTACCTATTTCTGAACAGGATTTGAAGTGACATTAATAAAAGGAACACACATAAGAACATTATTTCATCAAATATAAAAAAACCTAAAGCCACATAACGTATTCTAACATCTAGAATATCTGCTTTTGAATATTCTCATATGTGATGACAAAAAACATAGGCAAGTAAGGGCGATCACAACCAGTGGTTCCTAGCTTTCTGTCATTCGAGTTTTAATTTACCCATCTGCCTTTAAAGTTGTGCCAACCATACCAATCTGCGGATAAGCTTCTGTAAGTGACAAAAAAGGTATGTGTTTGCGTGTGTATTACGGTGGATGAGGGTTTCTTTTGAAAAATTCTGTTGCTATTAGTGCCTGCTAATAAATGAAGGCCTATGACCAGATGTTTGTGTAAGATTGGAAGGAATTTCTTAAACTTGTACTTAAGTGGTAACCCCAAAAATGTTCGTTTCTTTTGCTGCCAACTTCCATTTAACAAGAAATACAAGACACAGCCAAGCCAATAAAAAAATCACCCCTCGCTCTCAGAGGCAATGGGAGGAAGCCCCTGTTTCTAATGTAGCAGATTTGGGAGATCTCAAGGGACGGGATGTCTCTTGGTCCCCCTTTTTAAGAATGGAGGGGAGGGAGCATTGCTGAAGGAAGGGGTCTTGGAGAGGACGGGGGCCACTGCTGCTGCTTGCTGTCATGATGGTACTAGAGAGACTTGACCCCTGGGCTTCCCCTGGACAGACAGATGAGGCTGGTGCTCAGAATCAAACCTTTCAGGGAGAAACAGGAGTTATTCCACCACATCTAGGCCCATCCAGACTATAAGGACATCCTCACTTGAGATGTAGACAGAAGGAGGGATGCGCAAGTGGTGCCCCCTTGGTGTCCGTGTCCATTACATTACAACGTGGTCTCTGATTTACTAGGCTTGGTGTCAAAAATGCTTCATTTGAACCGCCTCGGTGGTTAGGAGATGCCTGGAATGAGCTGTCTTCTTGCAGGGATAGGCAGGCTTTCCTGTGAATTGGGGGCCTCATCTGGTTCTTAAGGTATACTGTCAAAACCACAGATCTTCCGCCCACGTTAAAGCAAGTAGCCAAAATAAAGTGCCGAGACCCTAAGAATCTGAAGTCCAGCATCTGTCACGAGGTCAGGTGGGAAACAGCAAGACTGCTGGGCTCTGCACACAGCTCATTCAGGGTCTTCTTTCCCAGAACTTGGCGACGGATCTCTGTTACCTGCCTGGGATCTTCTAAGCCAAGGACCATCATCTCTGTTCATTGTTCACTCCTCTAGCTAACAAGGGGCTTGGGACACATGGCAAAGCACGATTTTATGCTTTTACATGTTTTCTCATCCCTTAAAATTTTTAAATCAAGTTTTGTTCTTTTTTCTTTTCTTTTTCTTTGATGCAGACTTAGCTGCAGTAGAACTAGATAGGGAATTAATTTGTTCATGGTTAGACTCAGAGAGTCGTGGTGGTCGGGTGGTGGCGATGGAGAGGCACAGGAGAATGTTCCCAAGGTGATCATACGTGGGGCTGGGGTGGGTGGGAGGCAGGGAGTGCGCAGTGGCTGCACAGACGGAGATCCGAGGAGCCGGACACACTGAGCACGTTCCAGCTGTAGAGGAAGATGTGGTCTCAAATACTGTTCAAAAATCAAGTCGGAGGAAGACTGAGAAAAGCCATAATTTAGTGATTAGAACATGATTCCAACTCCGGCCTCTCCTCTGCTCTCAGTGTGAAACCGTCTAGTTTTTGGCTTTAAATATCTCATCTTAGGACTTCTAAACCCATACATTAGCGTTCACATCTTTCCCAAAGTTCAGTTACAGCTATCAGCCTGAATAGTTTTTTTTTTCAAATTAGACAACTTTTACTAAATGAGAAAACTACTTAAAATGTGTTTTAAAACAAAATTGAATTAGAAAAAAAGACATATGCATTTGAAAGAAGGTTGCACTGTGCTGAAAATCAAATCTCTTGCAGTAATACAATACGCCAATTCTTAAAACGTAAGTCAACAGAATTCTCAATTTAACATTTTCAAAGACGTTATTAAGGTCAAGAATTTCACATCTATGATAGCACTCATAGAAGGGCATTTATAAATATGCTGTTCATCCCTGTGACGCTTACACATTTGACAACGCTCAGTAAAAGCTTTTAGAATCACATCCAAAAGTGCTGCATTCAAAGCATCACAAATCTGTGTCCTGTGAGTTCTCCTTCTAACATCTATATGTTGACTTTTCTACTCCTGTCATTGGTTAATACTACCCTTAAAAAAAAGAGAGCAGGAAAAGAAATGCTGCAATAAACCCTTGGTCATGTACAGAAATTACTGCTACTATAGTTCACTACAAAGCATGTCTATACAATACCATATGAACTTTGATCATGAATATCTTTCTGTAAACATAATCTCATGCTTTACTAAAATGAATTTCTCATCATGCTGAATAATCGCCTAACTAGTTAATCAAAGGTACTGACTAGTCAATCAGAGAATCTCTGACCACCATCTCCGCATCCCTCTCCCCAGTCCATCCATTAAATTTCCAAACTCCAGCATTTATCCTTAGAATTATCTTAGAATTATTCCCTCTCTGCATCCTACTGCTACAGTACTTGCTGGGGCTTAAACCGACTATTAATTTGCCAACCTCTAGTCTTTTGTAACACCCAGTCATCCAACACGACGCTGCCAATTCGTATACAAACAATTTCAATAATGTAAATTTTTGTTCATAAATCTAAAATCAGTTTACTCTAAGATTCAGACTTTCTTGCGGAATACATGCCTGGAGAACTCAAAGGCAAGATTTCTGTGAAAAAGCAACATATCCTCATGAAAAGAGCTTGTCCTAAGAATTTCCTGACAAAAACTTGAGTCTATGGTAAGCTCAGTGGATCAGAGGCAGGGTGATCTTTGGCATATAGCGGTTTCTTTCACTCACATTATCCCTGCTCAATGATTTACTGACGGAGAAGATACATTTCCTAAATCCAGTGGGTTGTTCTCTAATTTTAATAAAGGTTTAACCAATATTTCAAATGTTCTCTTTTACTATATACCTACATTTACATAGATGCTTCAGTTAAATTACATTACGTAGCACATTTAATTAAAAAAAAAATTTGGTTCAGTTACATTTTCCAGTTCATACACTGTATTTTCCAAATACAGAAATATTCTTTTACCTTCAGGGCTTACACTGAAGGAAAGGTACTCTCTTCCTTTTTCCACACATCTGAATCCTATTGATAAGTATCATTTTATAAATCATTCATTATTAAAGGTTCCAATCAAACACTAACTCATTCATTTATTTACTAAATTAGTCAGTTAACAAATAACAAATAGTGTTGACAAGTCTACTCTACATAGGGCATTATCCTTAGTGCTAGGCATACAGAATTCCTGTTAGAACTCATAAATTCTGTTAATATAGAATTATTATGCATTGAATATGGACCAGGCACTAGTAAACAAATATGGATACTTTCCTTGCCTACAAGAACTCACAAACTGTGAGTGATACCAAAAACAAACAGGGAAGACACCGGGGTGAGAATATGCAGCAAATCAGGGGTAGATGCTTGGGTAGCACGTAGGAAGGGCGTCTACCGTAGTCTTCTGGTGGAAAAGTCGAGAGACTGAATTAGAAGTGATGTCTAAGTGGAGATGCAAATATGAGTAGAAATTAGCCAGTAAATTTGGGAAGGGCAGGTGTTAAGCAGAAAGTTATAAACAAAAGGTTCAGCATATGCTAGAAACTGGATGGGAATAAAGCTTAAAAGACTTGAGGAGCTATAAGCAATTCTGTTTGAATACAGCATTGAGTGTGAGTGTACGGGCTGGATGGAGAGGTCAGAGGTGAGACTGGAACAGAAGCCAGGAATTAGATGTTAAAGTTCCAGGATACTTGAGAGGAAAAAGGATGTTATCAAGAATTACGCTGAAAAACAAGGGTGAAAATTGGGACAGCTCCAGGAAAAACAGGACATACGATGAACCCATTTTGAAATCATGTTAACAATTTTGAATTGTATCTTAAGTGTAATGAGAAAAAACTTACATAAGAGGAGGAGTGATATGGCCACATTTCTAGAATGGTCATTCTAGTGACAATATGGAAAATGGACCGGAAATGGGGAGGTGGCACGGGGAGACCAAGCAAGTTAAATGAGGGTGTTAAGGCAGCAATTCCAGTGAGAAATGAAGGTTTACAGAAACAGATCTTCTTCAAATATATTTAGACATCAGACATTAAATTTGAGGGGATTTTTGACTGAATTGGGTAGTAGAGAGAAGATGAGGATGATATCCCACTTTCTGGATAACTGGGTGGATAAGTGTGCCCTTCTGTAAAAAAAGGAACAGTGGAAGAAGAGAAGACTATAAGTTAATTTGGACTTGAGTTTCAAGGTTAGTAGAGAAGTCCAATTGCTAAAAATATGGATCCAACAGACAGTATAACACACAGTGGTTTGGAGCTTGGATTCTACAGACAGACAAGGTGACCAGTCAAGTATTGCCACTTCTGGTTGGACGATCTCGTACAAGTTACTTAAGCTCCTTCTTCCTCTGTTTCATCACCTGTGAAATGGGGTTCATATTGGTGATGACATTGCATTGTCATTCTAATAAATAAACAAGATAAAACATCTAAAAGTATTATGTAGAGTAAGCACTTACTGTCTTCTGTTACTAGTAATTCTTCAAACACATCAAGTGATGCATCATGTTGT